AGCCGAAATGTTGTCCTTTAAATCCTGTAACATACACGGTTTGTTAGCATACACCTGGCTTAGATGTCGTAATGATTTCTTGGGAGACTGAAGTAACCTGTCACGCACAATTGCAATCGTTTCTTCTGGCATTTCTGGGCGGTTTTTACCACGTTCATTTAAAAGTGCCCCTGTCCTTTCCAATTTCTGAGCCAAGGACTGTATAGTCGATTTCGCTGGCGTCTTGCGAACTCCAAACTTCCTCCTGAATTCCAATTGTGTGTTTGCAATCGAGCCTGTCACCCAGTACGTGCACACGAGAAACACTCACTGTTCAACAGTAGCGTACTCCATGACTGTCGCCTGTGCACTGCAGACACGTTTCAGGATTGTCCTTGACCTTGCAGCATAAGGGCTGCTACTTGCTGGATCATGTGCACACCATTCGACTCAGCACGGCCCACGGATTATTATGTCATAATTGTGAGCGGTTATGTGCATCACCTGCAGAATTATTAGCAAATTCATCGGGCTGGTTCTATACGATTCACCCTGTATAACATAACATTACAAAAACTAGTGGACTATTGAAGAACTCTTTAACGGATGGCGTTATATAATTCCAGGGGCGAGTGGTTCTCCTGAAACAGATACTGAAAATCATTATAAATATTTTGTTATAAATTCTTGTTTAAGTATGCATGTCATCGTAAGAAATGTGACTAGTGAATAAACTGAGCATTTACCTTCTGAGAATGACGTTTCCTAAACACACTCCAAAAACGGAGTGTCTCATCTGCAGAACCAGTCACAACTGCTTGCCCATCTGGTGACTCTGCCATGTAGAGAACTCTGGCAGAGTTGGCAGTGAGGCTCGCAAGTTGTGTCAAGCCCGGATACTTCCACAAACGTATCTGCTCTTGGAAGTGGCCATGGGTGCTCACCTGCAACATATACAGTGGATCCATTTTTATTAAGAAGCTTTCCAAGGGACCAAGCAGAAAAACATTTTAAAGGGGTAGGCTTCAAAATGTTTACAGAATGTTACATCCTTTTGCAGAGTAACAGAATAGACATATTTTTAAACTGAATAAATACACAGACTTCCATATATACCCAACATGTTCCTGCTATATTGGTTATAAAGTCCAAGAGTCTCTTCTGAACTGTCATTCTTTCTTGAAGATCAAATCTAGTGTAATTTTTTTTATTTGTCTTTCAAACAAAGTTGAGGTAAACGTTTTCAGTTCCTTCAGGCTTCTAATGACTGAATGTGGCTCATGAAATGGCAGCATTTTCCTTTTTTGACTGCCATTCTCCTTCCCAAACATG